CAGATGCTCAATGCGCGTGTAAAAGACGTCAGATTAGCGTTTATTTTGTTTTGTACGAAAAATAGACTTTAAACTTCCTCAACGAGCATCTATCCCTCATGTATGAAAATCATGTATTAAAAAAAATCCTTAAGATCACCACACGCTGCAAAAAACACCAACAGGTAAAAGGGATAAAAAGGGCTAAAGGCATACATGCCCGTTCTGGTAGTTTAAAGTGTATTTATCATATAAAACTAAAGGGATAAACTAAAGCGTTAAAAGGGTTTTGAGTATGGGTATGCTGGTCTGATGGGGTATGCTGGTCTGATGGGGTATACTGGTCTGATGGGGTATGCTGGTCTGATGGAACGCCAGTTCTGCTGGGCTTTCCTGCTGCTAGCTCGGTTAGCTTATCGTCACATTCCTGTTGATCAACAGCTCCACTGTCTTCACTCTGTGGTTTGTGGCGAAACAGAACATGTTTGTCGATGCGAACAACTTGCATCCAGTCTCTTATACCGCTTTCCCACTGGCCAAAAAAATCAGTTTAAAGGAAAAGTCCGCCCAACAAGGAATAATTAATGGGTCAGTATTTATACCTAAAACTAATATGTTCGCTGTGATTTAATGAATTTAGTGCAAAAAATAAAAACCATAATATTCATCACAATCACTGAGTCTGGGAGCGGCCATTTTTGCCCAAATATAGTAGCCCCTCCCTCCTGCCATCTTCCAGCAGCGACGTCACGGTGCGGTTAGCCTAGCGCCATTCTCCCCGCTTTACAAGCTAAATCAATGGGAACTACTAGACACATCTGCAATCAACAACAATTAGTGAAGATTTCCAGAGGACTTCACCATTGAAATTCACCAGAGCTATAGTGAAACTGACAATGCCCACATGCATGGCAGCTGGATGCTGGAATACATCGGGTAAAAGTGAAAATAAAGAGTTATTCCACCTTTCTGATTCCTGATCCTCCACGGACGGGTTGGTCGTTGGATCGCCAACTGGAAGAGGGAGGATTTATCATCGAACTTCTGGCCAGAGAAAAAACCCGTAATATGTAGCCAACATTTGGAAGAAGAATGTTTTCAAGATGACTTGGATAATAGCGCGTTGTGACAAACACCAGATACAGCACTGGGACTTGATCAACAGCCGATACCGCACCGTGACGTCACTAACAGGTAGGTGGCAGTAATGTTCTTTGACAAACATGGATGCCTCCAGTAAAGCACATTCATATGAAAATTACTCTGAATTAAAAACACTGATCATTTATTGAACAGGATGGAATCATTTCAGATTTAAAGAACTTTCAGAAGTTTGGATTCTGAATATGAGCGACTTTTCCTTAAAACCCGGGAACACTGACACTCGCTGATGGGTGTCTACCCAGGTCAAACGAATTGGCAAGAGACCCACGTTAAAATCGGCTCTGATGGGCACGTTGTGGAATTGACAGAGTTGACTTATCAGCAATCCCTCACACTAAGCATGCTTAAAGCAACAGTGGAGAGGAAAAACTCCCTTTGAACAGGAAGAAACCTCCAGCAGAACCAGGCTCAGTGTGAGCGGCCATCTGCTGAGGCCCACTGGGGTTCAAGGAGACAGAAGCAGACATAGAAAAAGAAGCATAGATACAAAAGGCAACTGTCAACCAGCTCCACAGGCGGCCCCGTCCAGGAAACACACAGCCAGGCAGACGAGCTCCGAGCCAGCTCCCATGTCAGAGGATGAAGAGAGCACATCCAGTTAGTCACAGTCAGAGAAACAGGACTACACTGGAAAATAGGCTGATATCCAACATCCTGATGCTGGATCAGGAGCTTTGATCCACCTAAAGGTCACCATTTAAATATCTGTCTAAGCAAATGCAAATTTGATCTATTTTTGGAATAAGACCTGATTCTACATAGAAAAATAATCTGTAATAACTGCCATAATGTTGACTAGAAATCTAGTCCAGATCTGTAACAACCCATGTACATCTATGCTGCAAGCTTCTACTTATGTTAGGTCTAGAAGTCTGAGACAGAGCAGGTGAACAAGCAAACATGGACCTTTGATGGTAAAGCGCAGGGAGAGGCTTCATCATGGTCGGTACAGCATTATTTCCCCTCAGCCTCTCCTACGCTACTAGAAACAACAACATAGATGTGATCTCACATAGAGAGTTTCTGATCTCAGTCATCAGTGGAGATGAAATGTTTTGGGCTGACTGGTGGAGAAGGACAGGAGCGAGACCAAAAGAAGCAACATTTAAACATAGATGGCTGGGAATAAACAGAAGAATCTATTTTCAGATGTGCTGAGTTGTTATTTAAAGCTACAGAGACGTTCAGGTTCAAAGAGCTCAGTTCTCATCAGAGACACATCTTAGCATCATCACGTCACGCTGCTGGTCTAAACAGCCTCAGCTGATGGTCCAATAACAGCAGGGAGCTCCTTATTGGACCCCTGGTGGTCTCTGAACCATCACATGATACCAAACGGTCCAGCAGGCTGACCCGCCCTCAGCAGGACCGCTGTTCTGTCAGCCCAGCAGACCTATAGTCAATACGCATGAGCATGATGTCAGATTTGTGTTTATCCCTATAGTTTTGTGTGAAAAATAGACTTTAAACTACCTCATTGTGCGTTTATCCCTTTAGTCATGAACAAAAAAAAAAACAATTTAATGTCAGATCGCCATACGCTTAAAAAAACACCAAAAAGTAAGTAATTAAATTGTTTTTATGCACATGACTAAAGGGATACACGCCCGCTGAGTTAGTTTAAAGTCTATTTTTCATACAAAACTAAAGAGATAAACTAAATAGATAAACTAAAGGGATAAACTAAAGGGATAAATTAAATAGATAAACTAAAGAGATAAACTAAAGGGATAAACTAAAGAGATAAACTAAAGGGATAAACTAAAGAGATAAACTAAAGGGATAAACTAAAGAGATAAACTAAAGGGATAAATTAAATTGATAAACTAAAGAGATAAACTAAAGGGATAAACTAAAGAGATATACTAAAGGGATAAACTAAAGAGATAAACTAAAGGGATAAACTAAAGAGATAAACTAAAGGGATAAACTAAAGAGATAAACTAAAGGGATAAACTAAAGAGATATACTAAAGGGATAAACTAAAGAGATAAACTAAAGGGATAAACTAAAGAGATAAACTAAAGGGATAAACTAAAGAGATAAACTAAAGGGATAAACTAAAGAGATAAACTAAAGGGATAAACTAAAGAGATAAACTAAAGGGATAAACTAAAGGGATAAACTAAAGAGATAAACTAAAGGGATAAACTAAAGAGATAAACTAAAGGGATAAACTAAAGAGATAAACTAAAGGGATAAACTAAAGAGATAAACTAAAGGGATAAACTAAAGAGATAAACTAAAGGGATAAACTAAAGAGATAAACTAAAGGGATAAACTAAAGAGATATACTAAAGGGATAAATTAAATTGATAAACTAAAGAGATAAACTAAAGGGATAAACTAAAGAGATATACTAAAGGGATAAATTAAATTGATAAACTAAAGGGATAAATTAAATTGATAAACTAAAGAGATAAACTAAAGGGATAAACTAAAGAGATATACTAAAGGGATAAACTAAAGAGATAAACTAAAGGGATAAACTAAAGAGATAAACTAAAGGGATAAACTAAAGAGATAAACTAAAGGGATAAACTAAAGAGATATACTAAAGGGATAAACTAAAGAGATAAACTAAAGGGATAAACTAAAGAGATAAACTAAAGGGATAAACTAAAGAGATAAACTAAAGGGATAAACTAAAGAGATAAACTAAAGGGATAAACTAAAGGGATAAACTAAAGAGATAAACTAAAGGGATAAACTAAAGAGATAAACTAAAGGGATAAACTAAAGAGATAAACTAAAGGGATAAACTAAAGAGATAAACTAAAGGGATAAACTAAAGAGATAAACTAAAGGGATAAACTAAAGAGATAAACTAAAGGGATAAACTAAAGAGATATACTAAAGGGATAAATTAAATTGATAAACTAAAGAGATAAACTAAAGGGATAAACTAAAGAGATATACTAAAGGGATAAATTAAATTGATAAACTAAAGAGATAAACTAAAGAGATAAACTAAAGAGATAAACTAAAGAGATAAACTAAATAGATTAACTAAATAGATTAACTAAAGAGATAAACTAAATAGATAAACTAAAGGGATAAACTATAGGGATAAACTAAATAGATAAACTAAAGAGATAAACTAAAGGGATAAACTAAAGAGATAAACTAAAGAGATAAACTAAAGAGATAAACTAAAGGGATAAACTAAAGAGATAAACTAAATAGATTAACTAAATAGATTAACTAAAGAGATAAACTAAATAGATAAACTAAAGGGATAAACTAAAGAGATAAACTAAATAGATAAACTAAAGAGATAAACTAAAGAGATAAACTAAATAGATAAACTAAAGATAGTTTTGATTTATGCCCAATAAGCGTGGACTGCGCTATGTTATTCCACGCCACACCGCCAGAGGGCCAATCAGGGACTAGCTAGGATTGTGGGTGTGGTGTGTTTCTCCTCCGGTTATGGAGGGTTGGCTCCTCACTTCAAAGGAAATCACCCCCATATGTGAAGAGAATAAAATTCAGAAAACTCAATTATAAAGAGAATGAAAAAGGAAATTTGTAAAAATAAATTAAAAAGGATCCCGGCTTTCGGAACCCCAGCTGTAGAGGACAAACCCTTCAGGGAAAACTTTCTCTTCCTCTTCAGTAACTGTTAGGGGTGCCAATACTTTTGCCATTGTTGATTTAGAGAGAAAAAAAGGGAAACTATGAAAGCCACTTTTAAACATTTTCTATCAGGACTGAGGAGAAGGAGCTGAAGAAAGGAGGATGGAGGAGAGGATGGAGGACTGGAGCTGTCTGAAGAGCTCCTCCTCCAGAGGAGGAAAAACATGGAACAACCATCCCTCCTCCTGCAACTTTCATCATCACTCCATCAATTAAACATGGCTGAAGATTACACCAGAGGAGGAGAATGGAAAGGAGACGACGGATCAGAAGAGGAGGAGGAAAGACGAGGAGGAGAGCGGTCAGGCTTTTAGCAGAACCCAGAATAGATGTTTCAGGGAGGAAAGACAAACTGAGCCGGTGATCAAACTCCACGGGTCGATAGCTCTGTCCTAGGGAAGAACCAGTCAAACCGTTTGGAGGCGGAAGAGGAGGAACAAAGCTCCTGTTTTCCTTCTCTTCGCCTGCTTTGACCCTCGTCTTCACCGCAGTGGAGGGAAGGTGTTTGGAGAAGCTGCAGTGGAAGTATTTCTGCTTCCTCCTCAGAACAGTTTGGTTTTCCTGAAGCAGAAACCAACCAGGAGTCTCTGTCAGATCAGAGAGATTAAAGCTCAACATGGGGGCCGGCGAGGCCCGGGTGGAAAATTCAGATTAGCTGCATTCAGGGTCAGAGTTTAGGAAGGTATATCCAGGTGTTCCACTCACCTGAAACAGGTAGAACATCTGGAAATGACCTCATTTAAGCCCTGAGGGTTTTAGGAGTAAATTAGATACAGTAGAAGTGTAAATTAAAGCAAGTTCAGCTCCCTAACTATAAATTGGAAATACAAATGTTTGTATTTGTTTGACAGAAATGCATAGAGGAATATTTTACATGCCACCATGTCTGATTTATAGGCAGAGGTGGAAAAAGTACTAAAATATCATACTCAAGTAAAAGTACCAATACTTGAATGAAATATTACTCAAGTACAAGTAAAATCACCCATTAGAAAAATTACTCAAGTAAATTAATAAGTAGCTGATTTAAAATGTATTTTAAGTAAAAGTTACTTAGTTACATTTAAAAAAAAAAACTGTTGCCAACCCCGCCAAGATAGTGCTGCAGGAAACACGGACTTAGGCCCCGTCCACACGAAGTCAAAACGAACACGAAATGCTAATATTTCCCAGAACGTTTGTGGTAAAGACGGAGACGTAAAATAAATGTGATCGTCCACACGAATGCATGAAAACGCTGCAAAATGTATGCCAGGCCTGTAAGCGGCGCTGTGGTGCCAAAGCAAAAATAGGCGACGAAATGTTGGGCATGCGCACTAATATTTATACATGGTTGCCCTGCGGGTCCATTTTCGTGGTTCAGTCAAATTCAGGTGCTGAACTATGTTGTCTATATTGCTCTGTTCTTCCTGGAGATATTCCAGAAGAAGAAGATTCTGTTGTAAGCCCGACAGCAGGGTGAGTAGCATGAGCAGCAACCATTCAACACAGTACGGCGCCATTGTTGTTGTGATACTGTGTCGCGCATGCGTGTTTAGAGGCGACGCTATGACGCATGCGTGTAAGAAAAAAAATGCGGTTAGAGCTTAAAGATGGAAACACGAAAACGGCGTTTCAAAATCTTCCCACTCTGAAGGCTGAATAAAAAAAAGATTGTTTACAGACCCCCGAAACGCCGGCTTCGTATGGATGAGAGGCTGGTTTGGTGAAAAACTTGGGGTTTCTTTAGCAATTTATTTTCCCAAGCCACTCAGAGCCGCAGTATAAGGATGAAAGAGCCGCATGCGGCTCCGGAGCCGCGGTTGCCGACCCCTGTGCTAGACAAAATCAGCAATGCCACAACACAGGTTGTTTTGCTAATTGGCTATTAGTCATGAAAACTTTGTTTAAAGTACCGATGCACTAAATACTTACCAAAACATGCTTCCGCAGATTAGATGTGGAGTTATTGAATGCTGCCAGTTCACCTTTGGCAGACACATCTGGCATTGCATGATGATACTGTCGGCCCTCTTGAATTTAAATGAAAAGCAGTCTTTCAAATGTGGCCGAGGATTTTTGTCGTTTTGTGCAGCAGAATTCGATGTTTCAGCTAGCATTTCTAGTGAAACGTTCTCTGAACCGTCATCGCTCTCCTGATCCACCTCCATCTCGTTCCCAATCTCCTACAGAAAGACTTGGCGCCAGAGATGGGAAGTAACGAAGTACAAATACTTCGTTACTGTACTCAAGTAGATTTTTCTGATATTTTTACTTTACTTTACTACTTATTTTTATGGCGACTTTTTACTTCTATTTCTTACATTTTTACACAAATATCTGTACTTTCTACTCCTTACATTTTTACACAAATATCTGTACTTTCTACTCCTTACATTTTTACACAAATATCTGTACTTTCTACTCCTTACATTTTAAAAAATTGTCTCGTTACTTTAGTTTTGAATCATTTCAATGGAGTTACCGTTATTATTTTTCACGTCATCAATACGAAATTCAATCTAATTGGATGGGAATCTACGTTGCATTTGACGCACCGCTACAAGATGAATCGACAGATTCGGCGGTATTCATTGGCGGCAAATCATTGCAGCTTGGTGGCGGTGGCGTTAGCATAGTAGCATGGATGACGAGATGATTGAAAATGAACACAACGGAGATCTAGTCCTATTGGCAGACATCCATTTAAAATGTAGGCAACGGCATGAAAAAAGTGGTTTCTACTTTTACTTTTATACTTTAAGTAAATTTACAAGCCTGTACTTTGTTACTTTTACTTGAGTGAAAAAGTTTAATCAGTACTTCCACTTTTACCAGAGTATTTCTTAACACAAGTATCTGTACTTTTACTCAAGTACGGAAAGTGAGTACTTTCGCCATCTCTGCTTGTCGCCTGGTAGCCTAGATCTACATGCTGATCACGTCACTCGCTGTAGTGTTTCCGGGCCCCATTTTTTGTCTTCCTTTCGGTTTTCCAAAGTTTTGTTTTTACTTAGTAACGGATTTGTAATGTAACAAAATACAATACTTCACTCAAAACGTAATCAAGTAAAATTTAAAAACTACTTGAAAAATACAAAATACACAAAAAACCTACTCAATACAGTAACTTGAGTAAATATATTTCGTTACTTTCCACCTCTGTTTATAGGTGATTAAATTCCCAGGGAAATCCTATTTAAATGTCAAATCATTCTGGCTTAAACCTGGCAGTGTATTCTCATTATGAGTTCGTATGAAATCGTGCGAAAAGTTATGCACCATAATTTCGTACGTTTTGGATGTTTTTTTCGTCGTATGCGCATCTTACGCACCATTCAAGAACATAGAATTTAAAAAACAATTAGCCCTAACCCTAAACCTAATTTTAGCCCTTACTATCAACTTACCAGATCAATTAGCTTCTGACCCTAATATTAGTGGAATACATACCTAAACCTAACACCTGGCCCTTGCCTTAAAAATACACTTAGCCGATCCCTAACCCTGACACTTGCCCTAAAACGTAATTTTAGCCTTGCCCTAACCCTAAAACCTAGCCATTACTCTAAAAGCTAACCCTAGTTCTCCAAGTTCTACAAACTGGCTTGGCTAATGCCTAACCCTAAGATATAAAACAGCAAGCAACGTAGTTAGAGACATGAATAAGTGATTATTGCACTGTTTTTCGCAGTTTTACGTCCGTCCGCGGATCAGCTTTTTTTGTCTGTCTGCCCGCGCATGCGCACTGATCTGGTTTTTTGAGGAAAAACGTCCAAAACGTAGGAAATAGTGTGCATAACTTTTCGTACGATTTCATACGAACTGATAATGAGAATATGTTGCAGTGTTGAACCTGGATATAAATTTACTTTTTATCAGATGATATTGAAATAATTTTGAAACATGTTTAAGAAACTTTAAAGCCCCTTTTGAAAGGCGTGTGGATGAAACACCATGTGACCTTGTTTTGGCCATTTCTATAAAAAGAAATGGCCGAGCTTAAAGCGTTTTAAAAGAGCAAAAGAGAATTAATTACTTTAGATCTTTGTTTCATCATCTTAATTCTCCAATCTGAAAGTTTCTGCTTAATTAAAGTTTTACTGGCCCTGACACGTGCAGCGGTGTGGGAGGGTCAGGCCAGAGATGAAAACAAACACGCCCCGGGATTAGTGATGGAAATGTTCCCTATTGTTTATAGAATCACTAAAAAAATCCAGATTCCTCGGTTTGAGGCGCTGCGTCCAGAGCAGCTGACCTTTCTACTCTCCTCTCTAAACTAATTTCCATTGGCTGTCTGTCCTTATATTAGATTGTGATTGGCTGCCTCCCTTATTACAGGAGGAAATCCCCATCAGTCTGACTGGATTCCCATCTCATCCAATCAGAACGCAGCTATCACCTTATCTGTCTGACTGCAGCTTTTTTAGCTTCCAGGAAAATCTGAAATTTAAACTTCAGCTTATTTTGGTCCTTCTTGGTGCCGTTCTTCCTGTTTTAGTTCTAATCCCGTTTGTCTCAGGTTGTCTTGGTGACTCTGGTCGTTGATGTCTGAATTTAGGATGACTTAATCCCCACCATGAAATATTGACCACAGAGAGCACGGCGGGTCCTTGGTCCCGGTCTTCAGCCTCCAGAGGCCTGCTGGACTCCAACTCTGCAGCGCTGCAGATTAATGCCTTGCTCAGAGGCTCGTCTCTGCCCAGTTCTGCTGAAACTGGTTTCCTTTTTTTATTCTTTTCTTTTGGATTAGAGGAACTAAACTGCCGTCAGGATTAGGGATGGGGATCGTTAATATTTATTGATATCGATACCTTTATCGATACTGCTTATCGATCCGAGTCTTTATCGATACCACTATCGATACTTTTCTGTTATTTTGTGGAAAGACGATGCGACAATATGTTTTTAACAGACAGAAAGGAAGTGGGGGAAAAAATTTTTTTTTGAAGAAATGTCTTCTTTTGATTTAAAAAAATATATACGTTTTCACAATTGTTGGTTAATGTATTGTCTACTGTCACTTTTATCATGTTTTTAGTGATTAGGAAAATATTTAGCAAATAAATAATTGTATTTTAAATTAAATGTAATTTTTAATAAATGTTGGCATCAGTAGTTTAATTATATATAGAGCAATATACAACTGTATTACTCATGTTTCTCGCCAAAAACTAAATTTCCCTTTTCTTTACGTTACACTTGAACGCATCATGATAACCTAATTGTCGTTTTACTGAGCCAATCTGAACGCATCATCACGCAGCACGTCTGAAACTTTATTTACTTTTCAAGCTAACTAGCTTGTATGCTTCCGATTAC